ACATACACACACATATACATATATAAATACCGCACACCTATACAAGATGAGTCTAGATGTTTCATATCTAAAAAAATATTTCAACTCTTTATCAGTAAAACCATGTAGCACAGGCTAAAATTTCTTTGGCCATATTATGTGGATATCATATCTATGACTTTTAAAAAGCAACAACACCCAAAAATCCCTGCACCACCAGATTTCTTAAATTAAAACTGGCCCTCCTAATAACAGCCTCACTCTCTCAAAGCCTTAAATAACAATCCAACTCAATCAAATATAGTAGGAGCTGTAAGTAACAGCCAACACCCAGAGACATAACTGAGTCACCATCTGTGCCAATGTGGATTTCTAAAGCACCGTGTTGTTTCTGTGTGAGAGTGTGCAGGAGTACCTGGACTGAATAGCAAGATAAATGGTTCGTCTGAAAGCAACAAGGTTGACCTCTGTCTTGTCAAAGATGGTAACCTTCTCATCTGAGAGGGAAGCAGAGAGAGGGGAGAGTTTTTGGTGATGTAGACGAAGCAGCTTAAATTATTGCCAAACATTTCCTTCCTCAATATTCAACTGAATACAAGCAAATAAAAATCTAAAAAAAATAAATATATATAGAGCAAGTGTATCATGCAGGATCTCTAAGAAGATATATTATATCACAGCAGCACTTTAACAGAACCTTACAATCTTAAATACTGAATATTGCAGAATGTAACAGATTCTAGTTTCTCTTAATCTCTGCCCTGCCAATCTGGATTATGACCGACTTTAAATTTCTGCTGAGATTTGAAAATTTGTTGTCATGGACTTAGTTTTCCAAATGTAAAAAAAAAAAAAAGCAAAACAAAATAAATAAATTAGCATCTGATCTAAAACCTAGACGTTTTAAACCAAAGGAATATAAAGCTGTATCAAAAATGTTTTTAATTGATGCATCCATTAGTCCTCATTTGGCTCTTATTACAAAAATAAAAAGCTATGAAAGCATTTGCTATAAATTGATGTTTGCAGACCAGAAAAAAACTATAAGTTTGCAATTTGCTAGTCAGAATTTTCAGGATCTAAACTTCTGATCACCAATGAAGGCAGATAGACCAGAGAGTACCACCTGATTTCACTGTTAAAAGCTTCAAAAAGTTTATTTTCGTTATTGCTAGTCAGGCCTGAAACCCTTGGGGAATATCATATGCTTAAATAAAATATTAAGAACCAATGTGTTTGAGAACAACAAGATAAAAAAAGGAGCAGTCTCAATTAATTTTTTTTAATTTGTGTTAAAGTATCTTTAATTTGAATTTGGTCCTTAATTTGTCTCAAAAACACTGAATTTAAATAAGGTAGCAAACATTTCCACAGATAATAGGTTTATAAAGCTAGCTGAGTCTAAAAATGCAGGATTTTAAAATCAAAATACAAAACAAATGATACAAAAAAGGTTACAAAGACCCTCACTAACACTGTTTCCATACTATGTGGTAAAAATGAGCATAATGACCCTTTATTGAAATCATCAGAGACTTTGATCTATCCATCTTACCTTCTCCCCCTTCCTCGTTCTCCTCTTCCTCCTCCTCGTCTTCGTCGCTGCCATCTCCCTCCTCTCCTGAATCGCTGCTGCCCTCGTCTAGGATATCTGATAGAAGGTGACAGCTGATTGGTCAAACTGTGAGAGAGGAAATAACTGAACTAAACCTCAAAATGAAGGCCTTTCTAACCTCTCTTAATGGTTTTGTATTTCTCCTCGTTCTCCAGGAAGTCTGGGTCCATCTTGAAAACATCTACAAGGACACAAACACTGATTAAAGCGGACCCAAAACATAAATATATATATATATATATATATATATATATATTGTTAATTGTGCTCCTTCTTCTGCATCTTACTGAGAATATCTTCTGGGTTATACTCGTCATCCAGAGGTAGCATGTGGGTGAACTGGTCCTCTTCGTCCACCAGGTCCAGGCCGTCAGGGATGACAGGGTGATCTTTAAAACCATCCTTCCTGATGGCAAACATCACCTCAATCATGTACTGGATCCTTTTGTCGATGGTCGACTCATGGAGGATGTTCCTGAGACGCTCAAATATGGCTGCAAAGAGAGAAGGAATTTTTTTAGATATTCCGTACATTTCAAATGCAGAAATAAAATGAACATTTTCAAATTAAAGAACAAGTTTTATATCAAATCTGTCCTTTCAATACTTAGAAATAAGTGTATGTTAGAATTCACAAATGTGTTTTTTCCCCCAACCTTTAATTTCCTTTTATAGCTTTTTTTTATATATAAACAAAAAAGGTCTGCAATATTTTCTAATAATTTCTAAAATCTAATAAAATTAGATACTATGCAATGGCCTGGTCTCTCTATAAACGTAACACTGAATTCCTAAGCAAAGCAACTTGGAACATAAATACATTTCTTCCTTTGCATAGATTATTTTGTGTAACTAAATCAGGATGGCTAAAGATGCAGACATAAAAGTCAAATGATGGAATAAAATAGATAAAAATGTTCATTCATATTCTGGGGAGATTTTATCTGTGGGTATATCCAGCTGCTTATCTCAGATATTTACTATTACCACTGGTCTGATCAGGTCTGGACAGACCATAGGAGAACAGAAACTGTTGAAAGGATGTCAATCGAAAGAAGAGCGGCCATTTTGACTTGGTTGAGTAAGAAAAATTATATTTCAAAAATAAATGGTGGAGTACTAAAGTTAGAAAATTCACTTCATTAGATTGCAACCCACCTACAGACAATTTAACCAGCAGGAGGCTAAAAAGGTTAATTTACTAGAAAGATAGACAGACTAATGAGGCATGAACATTTTTTGGATTTGTATGAAATATTTCTTCAGCTTGAAGCCTTTAAAATAAATAAATTACAAAAACCTAAAACTAGAAGGAAGGAGAACCAAAAGCAATAAGAAAGGAAAGAGCAAAAAAGGAGGGAAACAAAGGAGATAGGACACAAAGAAGGAAGAAAAGCATTATATGAAAAATAGGGAATAATGACAGTTAAAGACACAAGCATTGGAGGTAAAAAGGACACCAAGGAAGAAGGATGCTTATTCATTTGATCAGATCACATTATGTTAAAGCGAGTGATGACGCCCACCATTGATTCCTCGAGGTGAGACCTCGGTCAGTTTGAGTCCACACTCCTTCAGGAAAGAGATGGCCACCTCCACGCTGTCGTCGGTCGGACGCTCCAGCAGCAGAGTGAGCATTTCCAAACATAAAACCTCATGGGCCTACAGAGGGAACGAAGTCAGAGAAGCAGGACGACCATGAACAGAGATAAACAACCTCACTGTATGCAACTCCACCGAGTTACAATAGAGGAATGAGAAAGCAGAACCTACCACATTTTGGTTGATGAGATGAGCCACAAACTTCGAAGCTGTCAGGCATTGTTGCTGCAAAAGAAGGTTTTAATGAACAAAAGGTAATAAAAACAACAACCTTTTAGACACATTTAGTGTCACCATGAGGATAAAACTGTTCCACTGCCCAATTAACTGCCTCAACAAAGTGAACATATTGCACAAAATTCAACAGCAGCACATGAAAACACATCCTAGGCTAGGTTGAAAAGCTCCCCCTACTGCCAATTACTGCTCTTATTTAGCTCCAGACCCATCTCCACTCAGTGCTTTGGACTCAAAAGGCTTCAATCTGTTCACACTGGAAAACTTCTACCTCAGGGAATTTGGGTGCATCCATTACACTGAAATTCTCATTCATTCGAAAGCTACAAACAATTAATGACTGACTAACATTTCTAACCATTATACTTCGACTGCATATCGATGAGAAATGTTAAATAATTTAAAGTTACTTTGAACCCAAAATTAAGCTCCTAATAAAAAAGAATGTTCCATGGAACTAAATAAATACAAAATTTTAAGATTGAAATATCACATAACAGCTCATTAATTCACAGGCTATTAAATATGCTAAATTAAAACCCAACTGGTTACCAAAGAAGCTTTTTTGACCTCAGAGAAGATTAAAAAGAGACGTAGGAGTGCAGTTAAGTGGTGACTACACATGCTGTGACTGGCTTTTAGTCACCTTGAGGTTGCGGCGGTAGCTCCTCCTAAAGTTTAGAATGAGGCGCTTAAGGATCAGCTCTCCAATCTGTGGGAACTTTGAGTTGATGATGGCCACCACAGCAGCATAGACATGAGTGAAGATGGGGGAAGCTGCCTGTGCCTGGAGCACTGACCGAGCCAGGAGACCCCTAACAGGAAGACAGAGGAGTGGTCAAGTTACAAGAGCAAACCTCTTCCTGTCTGTGATTCCAGTAAAGGCTGTTTTATATTGTTTAAGAAACATTTAAAAGGTTAATAAGTAAATCAGAATGTGAATTGGTGCACTTATTGTTGTGTATCTGAAGTAAACGTTTACCTTCCCCTGACGATGTTTTCCTGCAGCAGCTCCTGGATGATGTTTACAATGTTGGACACATTGACCTTGTTGATCAGACCATTGATGGACTTCTTCAGAGCCTCCCAGCTCATCCTCTGATAGGCCAGGCTGTAAAAAAAGACAACATCACAACTCCACTTATGAACATACATTTTACATTTGATGCAACGCACTTGACTGTTCAACCAAGCAATGTTTAGACTGAGATAATACATGTATCTGTGTGTTATTTAAATGTAGAGAGTCAGGATCATAATAATCATACCCTTCAGATTCGATTCGACAAACAATCTAACAAAAATATTGGGTTGAATGACGTCTATGGGACTCTGTAGACTGCAAAGCCTCCAACTGTTCAATCAAAGCAGATCGGAGGTCTATTTTGATTGGACCTTTGCAGAAATTCAACAGTAATAAAAAGAGCCAGACAGGAAGTAAGACAAGGCATCCATTTTTCTTCTACCCATTTTCTGACTGCAGAATTTAAGCACCGATCTCTGCACGGTTGTTTGATTAGCAAATGCAATTTTGTGGCCTGTGTTTATAATTCTGGCTTTTAATTCCTGATGAGGACTACCAGTACATACTCTCATATGAATACTCAAATCTAGGGGTGAAAAAAAACATTTGAGCTCAAATCGCGTTTCTAACATTTAAAGATTCAGAATCAATTCTCATTTTCTTTAAAAACTATTTTATTTTGTGGGTGCGGATGTGCCTTATCAGGCACTGTAGAGTTTGGCGAAACCGATGAGCAACCTGAGCTATGCACAGGCATGCAAGCGTTAGCCTAGCAGGCTACAGAGTGGTGTGTAGTGTTGTGTGAGCTACTGTGTTTGTTGCCGCTAAAGTATAGAGGACGAAGAAAAAGAAATTCAACAGCCTCAGCGGTCTTTAAAAGCAACCATTTGGAAACACTTGGGATTTTACTTTCAACCCGGCCCGGGTCAGGAAGGGCTTGACATGACTCATGCGATATGCAGAGATTGCAAAGATAAAGTTAAGTATTTCGGGAGTACTTCAAATCCCTGTTCTCATCTCGAAAGACATCACCCAGAGTTATTGGCAGAATTTATCTTTCGGTGTTTAATTATTGCAATAGGTAAATAAAACACTTACAATTATAAATTTTTTATAAATGTACTATTTTTTCATGCCAGCAGACTGGAATAGATCCTGAGAATTGTTTTGAATCGTAAATTAATTGTTTCTGAATCGAATCGTACGGATTTAAAAGAATCCGGAAAAAATCGGATCCCAAGAATAGATACTAAATCGAATTGTGGGAATCCCAAAGATTCACCGCCCTACTCAAAGCAGCCCATTTCTCGGTTTACACTGTGTGGTTGAAGCCTATATGTTTCGGATCGGAGCCTGTAGAGTCGGTCACAGGTGTTGCGTTTTGAGTGTAAAACAAATTTCCAAAAGACAATCAGTAAATGGGTTTGTAGTTTATAAGACTAAACTATAATCTAACAGTGCTGTAATCTTCCTGCATCAACAAAGAGATCAAGTAGGATCTAACCTGCTCTTGTCAGTGATTTGCTGCTGCATCATGCGCAGTTTGGCAGGAGGGATATAAGCGCCACCAGTCCTCGTCAGGATTGGGTCCAATTCCTCTTTTTTCTTCTTGACAGGGGGCTCTTCAGCTGCTTCTGGCTCCTTCTTCGCTGTAGGGGAGGCAGAGCGGTCCCGCCTCCTGAACTCTGACTCCTCGTCTCTGTTGCCTCGTCGATCAAAACGTCTATCCCTATCATCACGTCGATCATGATAGCGATCCCTACAACAAAGATAATAGAATTAGGATTAGGCTATTTCAATAGGCATTAATACAAACTGTATTCATTAAATACCTGTCCAATGGAAGGTCTCTTGAATGAAGGTCTATTAAAACGTGTCGTTGTTTCTTACCGTGCATAGCGTCTTCTGTCGAAGCGGTCTCTGCTCCGGTCTCTTTCTCTAGATCTCGAACGGTCCCGTCCTCTTGATCTGGATCTGTCTCGTCCCTTAGACCCAGACCTGTTCCGTTCCCTAGACCTAGATCTTCTCCGCTCTCTGGATCTCGATCTTTGTCTTTCTCTGGATCTGGACCTGGATCTTTGTCTTTCTCTGGATCGGGACCTTTGTTGTTCTTTTGATCTGGACCTTGACCTTATTTGTTCCCTGGATCTGGACCTCGACTTTTCCCGTCCCTTGGAACTTGATCTCTCCTTTTCAGTGGATTTGGATCTGCTTTTTTCTTTGGACCTGGATCTGTCTTCTTTCCTGGAACCCTTACTCTCTCTGGAAGAAGATCTATCACGTTCCTTGGACTTGGATCTCTAGAATGACAACAAAAGAGGAATCAGCAATTAATCACCTTTTCCAAGTAGTAAACCAACAACAATTATCTTAATGCAGGCTGAAATTGTCACAAGACAATTTTCCTGCATGTCACGAGAAATGCAGGAAAACATGCTGCCTTCTGTTAAAGAGGATTTGCGACAGTTTTGGAATTATGTAAAGGCCTATAGCTAGCTGCAGAAGTCGAGTCTATGATGCCAGTCAGGTAGATGCATGATTTGTATTCAAATTGTTCTTCTGAGGTGGTTTTCACAAATAAAAAGATAGAGTTCTCAGTCCTATGATTCAAACATGGCAAATGTCTGTAAGCGCATTCAAATTGTGCCTCAGATATTTGTGGGCAGTTTGAAATACACTTAACTATCTCTTCATACAATTATTGGATAATATCTATCTTATACAACTTCTGAAGAGCATAATCACAGGTCATGATGGACACCCTGAGTCTGTGCAGGCACCAGGCATTAAGTCTGAATTCTGATCAGATGCTAACAGACCCATCCTCATCAGTAAACAAGGAAAAGCAATAGATATTTATTATGTCTATGATGGAGGCAAAGAACACATCCAAAAGGTCAGGCTATGCCCCCCTCCAAGGAAATATTGTACCATTTAATTTAAAAGCACCAGTCTAAAGCACTGCATCAGAATCAGAAATACTTTAATAATCCCAGAGGGAAATTACTTTTGTTACAGTTACAGTTGTTGCATTACAATATTTAAGCAAAATTAAAGGATAGTATGAATCTAAAGTAAAAGGAATTCAATATTTTCCAGCCATATTTTCTCTGACTCCCTTCAAAGACTGAAGATATTCTTTATCTCAAGACTATTTCTCATAATTCCAGCTTTTTTCCATTTTTCCGTCACTTTATCTTTAAATATTTTAAATATTTAATATTTTAACAGTGCAACCTCATTTTAACACCCTTCACAGTTATAGAAGGGACATTTTTTATTGGTATTATGATAAAGAAACTTGCTGGGGATAGATAGGGTGTTACACCAAGAGAGCTCTTTGTTTGATGAAATAAACTTAAAAAAGGGATTTATTTAAGCTGTGGATCAATAAAAACTTAACTTTTACAATAATACCACTTTTGCTCTTTTGACAACACCTTTTGATTCACCCAATGTGGCTTGATTACCGGTACACAAATTACACAATGTCTTCAAGACTCTAGAAAGCCATGGAAATGCCAAACTTAATTTAAGTAAAAATAGAAAACATTATTAAAATACATGTAAAAATGTATATTTTGTGTGACTAAATAGAAATACAGAAATTATGATACCCCTTTCCCACTGGCCAAAAAACATTTAAATGTGAGAACGATCTGCTTTTAGCGGCAGTAGGAACAGGTCACTGATGCGTGTCTACCAAGGTCAAACGACTCGGCAAGACACTGGCATCAAAAATGTCTCGCCTCTGATTGGCTTGCTGTGGGAAGACCAGAGCCTGATTGACCCGTTAAATTACGTGACACCATTGAACACAACATACGGACATCAAACCACTGCGCAGCAGCGTCTCTTTCGACTACGCAATTAGTCGAAACAACTGGTTAAATTCGTAAACATGGACAGATAAAAGAGCAGAACAATAAAGCAAACTGACTACGCCCCATCTTTCTTTCATGTTGCTCTCCATTGTTTACTTTCTAATTTTTTATTGATTTCTGTCGCAGTGGTGACATCATCAAAGCTAACCCAGCGTGATGGTGTCACCACACCCACAGCTGTGGGGGGACAGAGCCCACGCAGCTTGCCAGCAAGGAATCAGACCCAGATTCACATAAGTAACAGATCTAAGATTCAAAACAATAAATCTTTGCTGAAATTTGACTGATTTTCTGGTCTGATGCTAAAATCGGCCCCAGTTTTCGGTAACATCTATCATATACACACGCACACATATATATAGTAGTGGGAAAAAAAGTATTCAACTATTCACCGTAGTTAAATAAACGGAGATCGATGGATTTCCCTCAGTCGGCACTTTATTTTCATATCTTTGCAAAGAGAGAACAGTTCATCATACAGGCGTTACTGCTCTGTATTCAGCCCTGTTCTGACTAGACAGAGTTTGTCTCCCTTACTTATGTTGATGAAAAAACTGTAAAGATTGTGTCAGAGTCAAAACAAATTACACACACTTAAACAAACCTTGAGAGAAAGCATTCACCTCTACTCTGCTTATTGCTTAAAAATATTTCGCGTACTGCTGTTAACCTCTCTAACATCACAGCAGAGTTATGCTGCTTCGTTAGTCTAACTAGTCATCAGAGCTTTGTCATGCAGCACAGCTAAATAGGCACTTCTTAAGTGATAATTTAAAATGTTTATCTTTAATTCAACATTATATTTACATACAGAACCACACTTAGTCTATTTTACGCCTTTGTCACCAAGAAACAAATATAATACTCCTGGATCAGACTCTCGATCCATTCATTCTTCTGTTCTAGCGTCCCTCCCTCTGCTATGGCAGCACTTCTCTTACAAAGATCAGTGAGGCTCCGCTGAACAATGAACAGTGGTGCCCTCTACTGGACACCAGTAACATCTCAACACTTAAAGAAAGTCCTAAACAGAGGTTATCAACTAATTGAATGGAACACATTTTAATGTAGAAAAAACAGAAAATAATCTTAAATTGATTGTTTGTTTACATCCCTAATTGGCACAAACCTATTGTGATGCTGATATATCGTCAATCCCTACTAATGACGTTGCATAGTGGCGGCAGTGATTGTACCAGTCTATCATGGTAAAGCCAAAGCTGACCTGAAGAATGATGCTTTGATCAAGGTAGAGGAAACCAATTTAGGAGGGAGGTTAAAGTTATTGATATGGCAGCGGATTCATTTTTATTTCGTAGTTTACACTTTGAGAAGTTGAGAGAGCTTAACTCTAACAAATGGATCTTACTTGTACATGAGCAACACTGCTCCTAATCTTCCTTAGCGCTCTTGAATGTTCATCGTCATCATCACTGCTGCTGCTGCTGTCTGAGCTGCTGGAGTCAGAGGCCTTTGACTGGTTACGACCTGCGGAACTGCCCTCAGGAGAGGACTGCTTTCTAGAGTCTCTCTCACTGTCATTAGCCTGCTGGGGTCTTTGTGCTCCTGGACTAGATTCATCCTCTGAAGGTCCTACAATCAAAAAGTACAATATATTTGTTAGATACAAACAAAACAACAATAAATATGGAAACTGAAGAAGTAGAGACAATAAAGTTACCATTTTTCTCTCTTTGTTTAGGACTGGAGCTTTCACTTCTTGCTGGAGAATCCATCCTTCTAAAATTAAGAGATTCTTATTTAATCCCACAGGGGAAAACAAATATAGACACGCATATATTGCACCGATGAAAACAGCAACCTTCTAATCAGTAACTCTGTCTTTATTATTTACAGCAAAGACCTCATAAAAGTACCTTTAATTCTTTGACCTACTCAGAACTGCAACATCATCCTTTAATGTAACAAAAACATTATCGGTTGAATGAAGGGCAAACTAAAGCCTGTGGATAAATCAATGTCACATTTACAGATAGCGAGAATCTTATGTCTACTTTTACAAGTTGTATTAACATTGGTGGATAACAGACTGTAGCTGAAGCTAGTTACTAGTAGAAGTTCTATGTTTATCTGATCAATTGTAGATTGTCTAATTGATATTAATGGGGTGACAAATTCTATAGGGAGCTCTGGGAAGGCAAAAATGGAGTTCACCCATGAAGCATAAAGTTAACTTCAGAACCTTTTTTTGTTGTCACTTGTTTTAGCAAGATATACTTTGGAAACAAAATCTTTTGGACAGAGATATTAAAGAAATATCTAAATCAGATCTGAAACCTGGATCGGGTATCAGCTCTGTATTGAATAATTAGCTGGATAGGATATTGGTGATTTGAAATCTTATATAGGAGGTCCATTCCAGTGCATTTTACATTGAACTTTTAGTTTTTTCTTTTCGCTGCTCATTTGTTAACAAATACCATAAAGTAAATCTTTGTCTGTGATCATTTGCTACTTTTTTAAAACAATGTTTATGTCAAGGCTAAAGCCTTCAATCAAATGGCAAACGGCTCATCCCTTCAACAGTTGAATCGGATTAGTATCGGCCAATATCCTCAGCTTAGGTATCGTATCAGATTGGATCAAAAATTAAAATTAAAATTGGAACTGGATCGATGAATCTCTAATCTAAATATCGATTTATTTTCTTATGATCATAAGTTGGTATATTGTTATAGTGAAAAATGTATTAAAAAATGTATCCTCAAAGTCAGCCCTCAAGGGCTGCTATCCTGCAGGTTTTAGATGTTTCTGTGCTGCAGCACAGCTAATTCCAATTGATAGCTGATTAACAGACGTTTGCTGAACTGCAATCATCAGAATAGGCTGTTCTAAATCAGGGAAACCTCTAAAACCTACAGGAAAGCAGCCCTTAACCCCCAGATTCATCATCCTCTGTCACCGCTCCGCCCAGCCCCGCTCATGTATGTGGTGCGGAGCACTTGTGCATCCATGTTTATCAATGAGAACTGTTCCACATCCATCACTACTCATCCGCTCGTCACCGTCCACATACGTCCTTCACTGTCTCAAAACAGCTATTTTTGTTCGGCTGCGGTCCAGCCAGCGTTAAGCGTTCATTACCGCATGTTTTTCTCCTATGAATTAAATATCATGCATGCTCTGCTCGAGCTTCAAAAAAGTTGCAGCGGAGCGAGACGGAAGGAACCGCAGAGGCTGCAGGCTTTTCTTTGCGCAGGCGGTCTGGAGCGGAGCGGTTGAGAAGCATGTGGGACTTTGGTGTAAGGTCCAACTTTGGGCATTCTTCGTAAATAGAGAGAGAAATGAAAACACAAAACAAAAAAGTCAAATAAATAACAAAGAAAAAAAGGTATTTACACTGCTGGTTCAGCCCACAATCTGCTTTCATACACAAATCTCGAGACCAGACCAGAACTATACAACTGCATAAAATGTCTACCTTAAGTTTTTATAGTGAATTAAATGATTTTACTTTAAATTCCCTGTAATTACATGATGAAACATACTATACAAATTTATATCACTATACAATAAAGTACAATTGATTTAAAACATACTTCCCTCGTTACCCCCTGTATACTAAACAATGCAGGACGCACGATGAGGCTGAAACTCGGCCCAATTGAAAAATGCTCACACAACTGGAGAATCGGCCCAAAAATGGCAACAAAAAAAAAATTGTAGTGTGTGCCCGGCTTTAGGGCACAGAGCTAGGAATCCTGAAGTTCTGAGTTTGAGTCCAAATCCCACAGACTCTGGGTCTCTGAGCAAGACCCTTAACTCCACACTGCTCCATGGGCGCCCCACGGTTGCAGCCCACTGCTCCCCAAGGGGATGGGTTAAATGCAGAAGTAAATTTCTCCAATGTGAGATCAATAAAGTTCAATTATTATTATTATTATTATATTAATGACCTGCTCCTCCCAGGTGTAAAAAACAATACAACTTACTATGGTTACTCATAACAACTATAACTATAATACATTAACTATAATATACAAACACCAGAAAAAAAAAAGAAACTCTGATCCACAGAGGAACTAAAATTATATATATAAAAAAAAATAACTCCAGATTAGTCTAGCAGAACAACTTCAATGTGCAGCCACCTGAAAATAAAAATATATTTAGTTTTTACTGTAGGTGTCTTGCTCTATAAGTGTACATGATGGAGGAAGAGAAAGCGTCTGTGAGGAAAAGGAAAAACATAGGAAGGATCACCACTGTTAAAATCACAATGATTTACACAATAACTTAAAATAAATTAAATGTCGCAAATGACAAACCATCAAAATAGGAGAGAAGTCCAGACTTAGACCAGAAAACTATATATATATATATATACACTATATATAACTATAATCTTCAATTTGGCTTCTTTTTTAGGCATTCCAACATAGATTAGCTGGTTCGCAGCACTTGAAATAAACCTTCATTGTATGAGCAGCTTTTTCAAAGCACTACTTTAAATCTGTTCTTTATATATATTTTCTTCTATATATTGGGACACCCAATGATTAGAAAACCGTTGATCAATAACAGTCTAATATGAAATCTAATCAATATGTGATAAAAATGTGTACTTTGATTTCTTCTCTATTTAAATCAATTGAAACACCAATTTTAATAATTGATAAAGATTTAGATTATTAAAACCAACACAGTCTTTGTTTTTCGTCATATCAGAATATGACGACAGCTGAAGAGTAAGGCGAGGAAAAAGAGAGCGGAAATCCCTAATTTAGTCAAAATACGCATTTAATTAATTTACTGAGGATTCATTTGAGGACTCACGAAAACATTAACGCGGGTAACTAATAAATATTTCCAGCATAGGGGAGCAGTTTTATCCACATGTCTGTTTGAGTGAGCTAAAGTTAGCTGGTATGCTAACACTACCTTAATTCTATAATAAACAAAAGTAAATGTAGTCGCGACTACTGCTAAAATCCATCTAATCTGTTCTCAGTTTTTTTTTCTGGTTAAAAAACTTACGCTTCATAGGAAGCACGAGCCGTAAAATAATGTCTTACCGTCGCACTTTCAGAGTTTTCTTATTTTTACAGTCGTTTCTTATGGCGGAAAACGTTCCGCTGTAAACACCTAGCTCTTCCGGGTTACGAATCTCTTCCGGTTTTCAAAATAAAGGTTTCAATCCGTTTGAATGAAAAAAAATAAATCAAAAGTAAAAAGCAAGAATAAAAAAACAAAATAAAACAGGAGGCAATGGGAAAAAAGAAATAATGGGCCGATCAGTCCTTATTAATACAGCAATATTTCAGCTGAATAGAAATATGTAGCTAACAGAGGTGACATGTTGACGGTAATGATGGCAACAAAGACAAAATGATAGAATTCAAAATCTCTAATAAAAGTTATGAAGTGTTAAAAATTATCATTGCCATAGCTATAAAATAGTTATACTAATAATAATAAAGTATAGAGAAACAAAGAAATATAAACATTGTACAAGGATGCCAGTTAAACCTATAAGAAACAGGAATTAATTATCGAGAAGCGATATACAGATACAGATTTGATTTATCCACCTTCTTTCAAAGAAGTTATCCTTCGTAAGAGAAAATAAGTAAAAATGTAGATTGTAGTTATTAACATCTTAGAGCTCAACAGAAATAACTGAATATTGAGAAATAGTTGGATCACCATTGGCTAAAATACTAAACAATTCCACATAGTTGTCTAATGATGAATCTGACTTAGACTAACTTAAATGTCGTTTTGTATACACAAAGTGTATACTTTCTTTCTGAATAAAAGGTAATGCTGGCCACAAATAAAAGGCAACACAAAAAGATTCAAGCCAGATGCACCTATTTGAGAGAATTGGACCAGGATTGTGGAGGAGATCTGAATCATACAAATAAAAAATAGGCACACAATCTTCAGCTGGATATAGGTTTGTTTAATAGTGGAAGAAATTGACCATATTCCAAAGGTGTAGAATTGTTTCTATGAATACAGTTCAATGGATATAGTCTGCATTATACAAGAAAACCATTGTTCATTGTTTTGATTTTTCTGTTTTTTTTTTTACATATTAGATAGAAAAAAGCTGTAGAAAAATATTTTTGAAAAACAAATTTACCGGTAAAAGAAAAATTGCGATCATAAGATTACTGAGCAAACTTTGTGTGTTTCCAGAAAAAGGTCTTTCAAAAAATGAAAGCCAGTGTTTGACCAAAGTTTATTGGTGGAGATCTTATCATCTGGGGCATGGTGGTAGAATGATCATGATAGAGATATTACACAATTGTCTGAGCATTGACTCACACAAAATTACTTTTTCCTTACAGATCATTGATAACAGTTGGTTCAAAAGTTTGCATTTTATTTCCACATAATTTTAAGAGTCAAAATCCTAACTATACTGCACCTGTAATGCTTTGGTTTGATGTAATCTAAGGTAACTTCCAAGTAATCTTAGTAAAATGCATCTTCTTTGCACAATGTAACATCTACATTTATAAGTTTAATTTAATTAATCAAATTTTTCCCTTTCCTTTAAAGGTTTACAGTGGACAATGGTCTTTAATTTGCTGGGTACCCATTATCAAAACAAGGACAATATGTTTTTCTATTAAAGACTTTAAATCTTACTTAGACTCTTACTTCCTAAATGTTTATAGTTTAATAATTTCATTTGATACTCTTCCTCTTTTTGAAGTTAATCCCTATAGGGTGCTTTAGCTTCATCTTTTGAAAATTTTTCTAGTTTTATTTGGGTTTATTTTATCTTTATAGGGGTCAAAATATTACACTTTTTCTGTAAAGGTAAATTTGTGTTTTTACAGGAGCTAAAATGTAAGTCGACTTGTACTTGGAGGAATAAGATGTCCAAAACATTAAAGTTTTAATTATGCGTAGTGAAGTAAAAAGTTAAATAAAAAACAAGGAGCCTTACACTTCATTATATGGAAAATAAATAAATCTTTATTATCATCATCATCTCTACAGTGACCCCTCCCTATACCACATTTAGGACACATCAATACAAAATACACATAGTCATCATTATTGTTATCAGACATGAATAGAAATTTATAACCACCGACATTCAGTAAAGTGTAATTAAGAGTGGATTCTTGATCTAAAAATTATAAACAGTGTTTGTCCAGCAGATATGCGTTTGTGAAAATGACCGCAGGCTCAAAACTTGTGTTAATCAAAACCTAGAGCGTTCACAGCTCTGAAACAATGATGGGGCCAAATGATAACACCTGAGCCAGGAGTTTTATTCACTCACACTCAGAAAAATTGCAAATGTGACCTCGGTTTTGGAATATTAAGCTAAGCTTTGCATTTCAGTTTTAAGATTACAGAAATCCTACCAACACAGATCAGCTCTCAAACAAACAAATGTACTAATGTGACCTTGTGCACAAATTTGTACAGTTATCGCCCCAAGTAAGCAGAGAAAAAAAAAATTAAGTTAGAAACATCATATTGACAGATCTCCCAGCCAATCACATTCAACTTACTTATGTACAGTGCTTTTCACTTAATTTAGTGACTGTTCAAAAACTCGATGCACATCTCATGAACTACACTCCCACTTTGAGGAAAAAAGAAAGGAATTAGTGGTTAAGCTACTGCTTCTGAAGTTTTTCATGTATTAGAGGCGCAGCACATCTGAAATGTTTGCTATGATCCACCAAAAAAAAAAAAAAACAACATAAAAATATATTCGATGTGTTCACATTATTGCACGCATTTTTCACCAAAATGAAACCAACATGCTGATGCACCGAAAACCCACAAAGCTCTTCCATCCAAGCAGTTGACACATAGTCATCCTCATCACCTTAACATACAAAAATCTTTAACCTTCATCCCTCAGCACATCATGGTAACACACACTGATCACTTTCTGTACCTCGCTCACACTAAACCACATTAGAAGCATTTAAGAAATCAACCAGCTGAAAAATGGAGCTTCAAAGTTGTTAAATTGGGTGCTTTCCAAGAAATACTATGCATTTAAACATTACATCTTGTTTTTTAATTGCTCAAAAATAGAAAAAATATAATTTTAAATCAGAAATTTGAAACAGTTTTTATGCCCCTGTTATTGTAAGCAAAAATTGGTTTCAAGTTGTTGAGGACTTTTTTCGGATTGTAAGGTGACTGAAAGACAGTGACTAAAGCAGAAGAATGAGGATGGTGACTGATGAGGATGATTATGTGTCATCTTTGCAATTTTTCTCTTTAAAACTGCTTTTTTTAGGGTGAAATGTGCATGGAATGGGGGGGGGGCAACCTTTCACAAAAAACAATTATTAATACATTCTAAATGGATGTTAAAGACTGATGGCAAATAAAATCAACGCTTCTCTTTGCATTTAGTTTTTTGTAATATGCTTCTACCTCATAATCCTGCTAAGCAGGAGTTTAAATACAATCTTTTCTTTATGAAAAAACACAAAGATGACTGTAATATGAAAACAGCTAATGCCTCAAAAAACAGGTTGAACATGTACAAAAATATTAAAGTTGAATTAAAGCAAATCTACTATTTGTTTGACAAGATTTACTCATTTAAAAAAAAGAGCTACCGGTATCATTAAACTTAATGGAACTGCAAGAAAACAGGAAGTACTGTTTAACTACTATTGTACAAGAGGCTGTTTGTAGTGGTGATTAAAGATTGAATACTTGTAGTATTAGTGGCAGTAGTGCTAGCTCAATGGTAGGGGTTGTTGACCACAGCTTTTGTTTTTACATATATATCAAAATAGAAACAGGAAATGAGAAATAACAAATTTTCACTGGTAATCCAAAAAGTGGAAGCCTCTGCTCTGCAGCTCGGGAATGCTGGAGGAGGTACCACAGGTGGCGTCGGCGGGGTTTGTCACAGTTGGATCATCAGTGTTACCAACATACAGTGTTGCAGGCACAACGTGTTGCACAGTGTTACTCTGGTGTACAGTGTTAAAGACAAGGCAGTGGTTTTTGTCCAAGCTGTGGTTACTAAGGCAGGAGGGCTACACCGGGTGTTGCTGAGCAGAAAAGGGTGAGCCCTGTGGAGAAGCAGCAGCGAGCAGCTCATTGTAGATCTCTCGTCGGACCTCCTGGGCCAAGTTCTCACGGATCTGGGGGAAAAAAAGGAACAGAATGGATGCAAAGGTGGTTTTTAGGATATGATCGCTGCAAAGTCAACGAACAATCCCATAAAAAATACAAGTGTTCAAGTTGTTGATTTCATAAACATTAAAAAGTTGTCCTTTTACCTCTCTAATAAGCTTTTGAAAGTTTTCGGCTCTATATTTTCCAAAATCTCCTTCACGTTCTTGTGCCTCGTCTCCCTCTCTTCCTTTTTCTTCCTCTACCTCTTCACCGTCTCTCTGAGCTTCCTCCTCTGCCACCAGCTCCGTCTGAACGTTGGGTCGACCGGGAGGGGCAGGGGTTATGTTGATAGATGCACGATACACTCCTTGCCTCTGCTTGCTGTCGTCTTCCTCTCTCCTGACAGGACTGGGTGAGCGGGTGGAGGGGACGCTGGAGGGGCCGCGGCCATGGTAACCGCGGCCATCGTAACCTATTTCTGATTGGAGGAAGAACTGCTCTCTGAGGAGGTCTGATACCTGGGCAGACAGGAAGTGAGATAGCAGAACATCAAAATAAAGATAGAATGTTTTGATCATCACATCGCAGAGTTTGAGTTGTTGCTATGTGTGCTGACCGGTTCCATGGCTCTCAGTGCAGAAGCGGTGGACAGGCTCTCAACACTGTTGTCTCTATGGAGACCCTGCCAAAACACAACAACATTCTTAAACGGTCGCTTTGTGTGATGTTTGTGGATTTAGAATAAACATAAACCATCTTGCATCCAGTTCAGGATGAGTACCATATTTGTTAAACATCTGTACACATGTTCTTACTCCAAGATGCGAGTGAGGCGTCAGATCCAATAGTCTGTCCTCCAGCTGTTGTTCCAGCTCCTGGAGTTCCTCTCTGACTGCAGACCGCAGACACTGAAGCTGCTCCGCCTCTATCCTAAAAAATCAAAACAACAAAACGGTCAAAAACAGAAGCAAGCAATCAGGTTGGTTCTTAACAGCTCCATAGCTCTGCGCAGCATGAATGCGTTTGCTCTAGTGTGTCACCTGTCAGCAGGACTCAGGTGCTTGTAAACGACAGCCTGCTGCCGCATGATTGACAGCTCCAGGTCCATCATCTGGTTACGGAACATGTTCAGACTTCGCCTCTTCTGTTGAAACTCTGCCACAGACTGAAAACAAAATATTTATAGGTAAATAGAGATGGATCCATCACAGCCTGGCAGAGCATTCCTCTAATCTACAATATTTACCATTAATTTTCAGATTATGGTCTGGACTTTGACTGGACCATTTTAAGAAATAAATGCTTTGATCTAACTCATATTTAATTGTTTTCAAAGCCAGTTAGCAACACTGAATTTTATCATTAAGGATATCGCAAAAATAAATACGCATCTAAAACCTGTAAATCATTTACATGTAATAAAACATCACCATACCGCTTCCAAATTAATGCAACAGTCTTATAATTTGGAGACACGTCTTGACTAAACTAATCATGATTCAACTCACAAACCTCTAGTGAATAAAAAGCATGGAAAATTTTTCAGAAAAAGGAGGCAATAAAAACATACCTGTCGGCTGCTTGCAGCTGCTCTGAGCTCACTGAACACATCAGGGGAATTGATCCGGGTCTGGAGGATAAGAAAAAACAAAGTTAGCCAATAAAGAAAAAAAAAACAACAAAATAGAAACGACTCATTAAGAGCAGAAGGAGAGAAATTTACCAGAAAATAACCTATAGGAACTATAGCTCTAATTCGATAACTGTAGATTAAAGATCTATTTTTAAAGTAAGTAAAGTTTTTTCTGTTAAGAAGGTAGGAAAAAAAATCAGTTTGTAAATCTAAATCATGCTAAAGAGAAACATAATCTGCTGCTTAGCAATTTTAAGCTGAGAGAGCTTTAGAGGAACAACATCCGAAGGCGACTGAAGTGGACTAACCTGACTGAGACTCTGAACCGTTCCCCTGATCTCATGCAGAACCTTCCTCAGCTGCATCTCGGTGCTGGTTGGGCATCGTCCTTGTGCCGCAGGAGGAGGGAGACCAGGGTGGAGACCGGGGCTCATGATGTACCCTTGTGTACCGTAGTAAGGGGAACCGAATTGGTGCATGTGAGGAACAGTTGGGAAAGGCAATGAATGGCCGAAGGAAGGGTTATATCCCTGTGGAGCCATCGGTGGAGTCCCAGGTGGAATGTGACCCAAACCAATGTTCTGAGGAGCTGAGGAGGGATGGGGATGGTTCAAGTTGTTGAGGCTGCCGTGTAGAGGGATTGGGGGTGTTGCAGGCTGGTGCAGACTGGTTAGACTGGAATAGTGACTGATTGAAGGGTTGTGCTGGTTAGAAATGTAAGGAGGACTAAAGTACTGGTATGGACCAGCAGGGTAAGAAACAGGACTAGGGAATGGGCTATTTTCAGGGCCCGGCAATAAAGCACCGGGTTTGGGGAACATCATGGGTCCAGGATGGCAACCTTGATGGTTGTGGTAACGACTAGGCTGCTGATGACTAGTTGATAGATCAGGAACACTCTGGGTGCTCCAGGAATGGCCGTAGGCTGGTGGGGAATCAGGGGGAGGACTGGAGCTATGCAAAGAATAAGAAGACTGCATTAGATAGCGAGGAATGGGTTTGGGAGGAATGGCAGTTGGCGGTTTATCTTTAGAGCCAGGGTTTATGATCACAGTGGAAACGCATGTGCTTTGTTCGCTCTCATCTCTCTCCTCTATCACCTCATCTTCCTTTCGCCCTGCCTCCTCCTGGCCATATTTAAAGGAGTACCTGGGAGGGGTACAGAATGCTTGACCCTGACCAAACTGGATCCTGACTGAAGACACGACCTTAGAGGGTGAGAGGAGGGAGGAAGGTAAGGAGGAGGACCTCTGCATGGGGATTACACCACGTCTACCTGGTCTTCCTCCTGGAGATTGGGGCGGGCTGTCGCACTGGATGCTGCTGTACTGACCCAACTGCCTCAGCTGCTGTAGCTTGGCTCGATTCAGTGCGCTAAGAACCGGAGACGTTGGAACAGTTTCAGACTCAAGAGCCTTTTCCTCAGCTCCCTCTGAGGTTCCTTCTGTGTCCAACTGCGGCTCGCCACGCTGCGGTTCTTTTTCTGAACAAGATTTATTCTGATTGTTTTCTGTTCCTGGTTGTGGTTCCGTTTCACGATCAGTTCTGTCCCTACCATCCAGTTGTTCCCCTTCACCTGCAAGTCTGATTGTTGGAAGCTGGTGAACTGAGTAGAGTGGAACCTGCCCCAAACACTCTCCCTGCATCTCTTCTTCCACATTGGTACCGCTTGGTTCCGCCTTAGAATGAGCAGCAGAAGGTGCATCTTGCTCCCGGCCATCAGGAAGCTCAAACGCAGGTTGGTCGAGCGGCTGAGGCGTTGCCACGTCTTGTGAGGGGTGTGATGTCACAGTGGTCTCGCTGTCACAGCTGTCACAACTCTCCTGCACCTAATTATAAATATACCAAATTCACATTTCATAAATTTGGTCAAAAAATTCAGAGCCAACATTTAATTGACAGAACAACCATTCAACAAAGAATTTACTCTTACATTTAAAAAGTTTCAGTTGACCTTAAAATGTACCTAAACCGGACCTTTTATAGTTTGTCCAAGAATCTCTTAACCAATCTGTCCCAGAGCACTTACAGTCAGTTTAGCGCCACTACCTTCTGAACAAGTAATTCATCATTCATCCATTTCTACAAAAATAAAATAAATAATAACAGTAATCCACGCTAAACCCTCTTTCCTTGGCAGCAATTGACCCATCAACATATAAGTTATCTATAACACCCTAGACAAGGATGAGGCAAAGCTAGGTGCTTCTATTAAAAAAAAAAAAGTTAATTTTTTAAAACATTTTCTGTACAAATCATTCAAGCAAAAGGCTTTTCTCAACATATCACATTCTATTCTGTTGGAAAACAGTGCAGAAAGATGCGCTGCTCATGCAGGATGCCTCTTTATGCTGAGGTGTTGGGTCGGCGTATGAGGATCTGGTTTGGAATCATTTTCCTCATATTTCTGCATAATCTGCGTCTGTAGCTACTTCTACAAAAACTTTAGCTGTTTCTACTTTTAGTCCACAACCATTATAAGGGGTCCTTGCTTTTTGTTAAATATATATATTTTCCTTCTTATTAAAGCTTAGTAAATAATGTTCTGTTATGCATCTCTTGTAAACCCAAATAGGCGTCTAAACTATGACATTACTTTTACATTCCTAGTTTTTCCAAAAGCAACAACTAGCAGGGAGATTTTTTTTAGAGTAAATTATCATTCTATATCCAATAAACCATTGACACTATCAGAGCTAGAAATTATAAGTGCATTAAGTTCATTGAGAATTGATAATGGTAAATGAAGATACTACTTGATGCAAAACAAATACTATTTGGAGCATCTGCTTGTTGTTTCATATGCTTATTTCAGGTGATGTACTGCTACCCACTGGCATCTTAAAAGGAATAAAAAGTTGGTTTACTTCCAGAGTGCTATATAAACAAGCACTGGCGTATATCACAGAACTTTTCGTTCCGTATGTCCTCAGCAGATGCCTCGGGGGCTGTGACCAGGACCTGCTGGCTATGCTAATTTACAGCAGAAGGCAAGAGCATTTCAGTAGAACAGCTCCAGAACCTCTGCAGGCAAAGTGATCGAAGCATAGATAGAAACAACAACCTGATGAGTATTATTATACATTCATATATTTCCAAAAATATTTAAACTGTTCCATCACCAAGTTAACGTTTAGCTTTACCTAATTAATGTTGTGTGAAGTTCCACGTGATGCAAGATTAACTGGTTTTTCAGTTCTCCTGAAGAACAAACTGGACGGACTACAGCTTTGTGTTTAACATGTGTCAACATGTAACTGCTCCCTGTGTGAGAATGGATTTATAAGCAATTACTTGGGGACCAGGTTATTAAAGCAGACTTTAGACTGAACCTCAAGACTTAAACTTGATCTAATAAATTGTTGTAGTGAGATCTTTAGCCTTATACAGAAACAAATAATAAAATAAAAATACTAATCAATACTTTGTTGAAAAGGAATACAGTGTCTTACAAATTAATGAATATCCTTTAAACTAGAATTTAATTTGAACTTTTGTTGCATGAGCTGAGGGTCTCTGCAGCTCCTCCAGAGTAACCTCTGAGCTTCTTTGATAAATGCTCTCGTTGAGGTGGACAGTGATGTCTCGGAAGATTTGCAGTTGTGCCATCTCAGTTTAACTTTCAGATGATTCATTTAGAAATGTATAGCGAGATGTTCCATTCTTTGAATGTTGTTTTACGCTCTAACTTGCCTTTTAGCTTCTCCACAACATATCCGACTTGTCAGTGTTTGTTTTGGAATTGGAACAAAAACATAAAACAAAAAACACTCCTTTAATAGTAGCATTGGACTCACTTAGAAGAACCAAATTAAAGGGGGCTAAATACAAGAAAATGTCAAACTTAACTGCAGGGGTGAGTATCGGCATGGGTGTTTTGATACGATATGTATCGCGGTACTTGGATCAAGATATTGCAATGTCACTATATATTGCAATATTTTTCCCTATCAAAATTAAATCTATAGATAAAAAACCCAGTGCTGTGTATTTTCATCAGAAGATTTAGTTATTTAGGTATCCGTGTTGTTTGGGGTCTGAGTGAGTCCACGTCTTCCACTATGAGTGCCTCCACTACAGGTATGGTGCAGCTCCGCAAAGAAAAAGGGCTCCACAGTGTCATCTGACAGAGTGGCGGTGCAGAGGTAGCCCACTTCCCCTCAGTTTTAGGTAAAAATATTTAGTTTAAAAAAAAAAAACGATACCAGGAACTGAAAGGTCGATATTATATCAGGCAGATGAAAATCACGATGTATCGCCAAAACAATTTTTTTCCCCACACTCCTACTTAACTGTTGGTATAGGGTTAAAAAATCTGACTCTGTCAAGGAAAATGGCATTGAAACACATTAGTGGCTGTACTTTGCAAATAAAGCAATCAAAATTATATATTTCCTTTACACTGTATTAGATCGTGTGTATGGTATTTGAACCAATGTAATGTATTTCCTTATCTTTTATTAGACTATGTACAGTGTTGGTAGAGGGTATAAGCAGTTTGTAAATGCGGCTGTAGGAGCAAGGGGAAATCAAACTAACCTTGAGGTAGCTGCTAGAGTCCCCAGAAGTCTCCTCAGCAAAACCACTGCTGTCAGACTGTTGACTAACAGTCCTCGACAAGTCTATAAGAGGAAGAACAAAGAAGAGTAAAAAGTGTTGTCACTACCGTACTCTTTCTGGCCTGCAGGTGGCAGGGTAGATTTAGGTTAACTGCACTTAGAGCAGAGATATTGGGGGGAAAAAACCCAACAATCATTCACATCTGAAGGAAAGAGGAAAAATATTTATGGTATTGTAGTTTTTAAATGGAAAAATGTGGATTCCTAGAGCACCTTTTATGGCATGTTCTGGCCAATAACCTAAACTTGTTTTGGGGTTTAATACAGCGTCTTTATATAGATCATTTTAATTCAAGCAGAGCCAAGTTTATTAAGAAAATACTTCAAAAACAGCAGACACTGAACAACATGCTGGCAAATGGGATGAATGATTAAATATGAAAAAAAATTAGGGCCAATAACATGTTAATTAAAAATACAATTTGATAATTCAATTACAAGTAAGTAAAAACACCCCCTAAAAATAAATAAAAAAGTAATAGTGTTAATTATTTTTTACCTCGAAGGGTAAAAAATAATAAATTGATTGAAGGATGTTAAAAAAAAGTATTAGTATCAAGTTGATGGGCTTTAGAACCAATACAGCTAAATAAATCAATAAATTATCACTTATCAGGTCCTAAAGGTAATATTCTTATTACCAATGTAAAGGTACCACAAAAAAGATTTTTTCAAGTTCAACAATGCAGATGGTACTATGCTTGGTTTTATGGTTCTAAGTTAAATTAACAGCACAACACTCCTGCAGTGCAGTACCTCTGCAACCCACTAGGAGGACAGACCACTGTGTCGATGACCTTATGATTTTGACAAAAAGAAATGCACTCAGACTAAAAGACAGGCATGTGTCATGCATGTTGGTGCACAGTCGATGTCGTCAAAGGCAGTTAAGTGATACTAATAATCATGGATGCGAGTCAGAACTTACCAGTGGTTCTAGATGTTCTGGAAGGCAGGGCCTCGTCTTCATTAGTGTGAATCTAAACAACAAACAGGGAACATTTAAAAGACACACATAAATAGACGAATCTTTAAACACTAATCAAATCAAAGTTTTATATGAATACAGTAACTTAAAATGCTTCCACTCAGGAAGATATAACCAGATGTGACAGTAAAGGCTCACTGATTTAATTAGCTGTCATTTGTTTATACATTCACGTGTTTCTTCTTGAATACTTTATTTGCTTTAAAGGTCACTTTTATTCAGAAAAACATCAGGTGATTTTTCACCAGGATAATCATCTATGTCATAGTGCAGGTTAAACCCCCCGCCTTCCTTTTCACTTCTCATGTTAGTGTGTAAACAAGCAATTTTGCCTTAATTTGCATTGATTTGCCTGTCAGAGTAGCTTAGCAGGCTGAGTTGACTGACCACAGGGAGAGCAGATGAAAATAAGATGGTTTGGTAAAAGGCCTCAGTGATGTCATCGTGCCACCTGTACGTGGGAAGAGTCTACCCTTAGAGAAAAAGGAATGCAGAGGAACAACCCAAATTCCCATACCTCCTCCATGTCAAAGGAATCCGCGTTCTCTGTGCGAAGCTGAGTGAGTTGGGGCGGGGTGAGCTTGGGGGGAGCTTTCTCAGGGCTGGAGGGGAGGTTAGTTTCCTTTCCATCCACCTGATCGCTCTCCGTTTTCTGACATGTCAAGTGAAGCTGAGGTGAACCTGGCAGGTGCTCTGATCCAGAGCTGCTCTGTTCAGGACTGAGAGGTCGATAAATGTTATTCCCTTTATGGCTGATGACACAAATTTACTGATATTATATATTTCATTTACATTAGTCTACTTGACAAAAACAAAAAAAACAAAAGCATTTTGTGGATTACTATTATTCTTAATGTGTCAACAACTGCCTATTGGGAAAGATTGTACAGCTAATGGTCTGAAACTTACTGCCATTTGGTTTATCATTATATGTAAGGGATAATCATCAACAATAGAAGGATTAAATGCTTAGAATACGATACACTGTAATTAGTCGATACAATAAAAGACTTTTGAATAGCATATATGTAATTGGATTTATGGATATAAAATGCTCTAATTTTGGAGATGAACCTGCCAAACACATCCAGCTGATCCAACAACAAACTAAACAATAAAAATACATAAACCTTTGTCTTTCAAGTCTGAAATTGTAAAAGATTTTTCACTTTTTCCCTATCAAGGAGCCTACTATACTTCATCCCTTCTGACATAATCTCATCTAGAGGATATATAAACAGTGCAGTTTACCTGCTCTCCATTAGCCGTTCAGCATCCCCGCCTCCGTTGGTTTCCTCTGTAACCGTAGCCAGGGGGAAATTATCTTTCCTGCGGAGGAGCTTTTGGTTGGCCACCTCCCCCTGGTGGTCAGAGTTGGCGGTAGATCTATGGTGGTCCGTACCACTACGAGGGTGACCGTTGAGATGTGGAAGATCAGGGGAAGCGGCGTGTCCGTTGGGCTGGGTTGGAGAGAGCCCCTCGGGGGAGTCTGAGGCCGACCCAAGCAGATTTTGTCTGCTGATTCTCTTTATGAGTTTGGCCATGTTCCTAGGGTTGGTCCTCTTTGGAGTAGACTGCGCTTCAACACTACTTCCTTCTTGTTGTCCTTTTTCTCCTTCTCCACCTAATAGAATTACAACACAACAAACACAAGGATGATTCAACAAGTGGTTACGTTTCATTCAGTATGATCACTTTTCTTTGTCAAATGAAAAAAAAAAGACAGGTCATGTCATGAAGGTCATACTGCAACTATTTTTAAATTCATAATTGTGGGAAGCTAACCCTAAACATACTAACCCCAAAGTGGTTGCTATAAGGATTCGTTTTTCTGCAGAGATACAGAATCTGGTCAGCATTTATGGGAATATATGGTTAAAATTAAATCCTGAAAGGAAACCTGCAAAAGACACAGGCCTAAGTACAGTCAAAGCTACAATAGATAGATGTGTGTTGGTGCAAGAGCATGGTCCAACTAAAATTCTTTGCCATGACTTAAAAAGTTACTGTTCAGGTATCCTAAATCCAATCAAACTGATTTGGAAAGGAAATACAGTTGGTAGCTGCATACCACCAAATTGCTGATGCTAAGTTCAACAAAGAATTGAATATACAAATGCGTGCCTCTCTTTTAAGGACTTAATTTGAAAAAAAAAAAAAAAAAAAAAAAAAAAACTAAGAGAAAAAATATTTTTGGCAATGCTAGGTGAATATCTATGTTGGTTTTTGTAGACTACAACTTAACAAAATGGTTAAAAAAACTGGACTCCATTTACAAAAAAGAATGCAGTGTTTTCTGGACTATAAGCTGCTATTTTTCCCCCATGCTTTGAACCATGTGACTTATGTGAAGGTGCAGCTTTACTGTGGATTTTTCTTCAACCGCCATGGGGCAGAATTCAAACTTGAAAATCAAAGAAGAAAGCTCTATTTCTCAGCAAATGCTAGCAGCAGGAACAACGGAACAACAAATGTCCTGAATTCACACATTTTGACATTTGTTGCATTGGAGTAACCTGGCAGGTGTTCAGTCTGTCCGTGAAAAGGAGGGATGTTTATTACAGTATTTCGAGCTGATTGGGTGACATGCCAGCTAGTACCCGCCCTTCCATAACACGCTTTCAGCCAATCATAGCATGTCAATAGGATTCATCTGCAGCTTCTTGAGTGCTTTCACAACTAGGGGAGTAAGCTGGTAGATCAAACTTTTTCCAAACCCTGTCGGAAAAAAAAGCACAGAATTCGTTCCCATCTACAAATGCAAGATCTCGTGACAATCCAGCTTGCAGCGCAAGGTTAGCCTTAGAGTTGTCAAACTAATGAAGAGACTGTGCACAACTCCTGTGAAGCTGAAATAAAGAGCTGAAGAAACCTGATCTTACATAAGAAGCTCTTACTGCTGCGAGCCAACAAGGTAACGGGAGCTTAAATTTATCTTCATCAATACCTCTTCGTCCCAACATGTAGAGCTCGGTGGGGGGCAGTTCAGTAGATATCAGCGGCTTATCGTTTCAAGTTTAAAAAAAATACAAACTAAAAAATACAACTAAAATGGCAGTTGTTTTTTAATGCTTTGAAATTTCATTTCAAGTTCAAACGTTTTACAACATGACGCATCCTCTAAAATGTATTTTTCAATTTAGCCGATATTAAAAATGATGCACACTGAAGACCACAAACAAAGTGGTCCTTCATTGTGTTGCACTGCTCACCTTGATCCTTGCTAACCAGTCTGTTGACAGGTTGTCCAGAAACCTGGCTGTAGAGCTGGAAGAACTCGTTGGCTACCGTCGTCAGGACCTCAATCTGACGGAAACGACCTGAAACAGAGCAAAAGAGCAAAGGTGTGATAAGCGCTTCAATTTTAGCAGCATTGGTTCGGTTATTCAGGGCTACCCTCCTGCCTCTAATTGAACTGCAGCAGTACATGTAGTCTACTGCCGGCACATGTTGACATAGCTGTCATTTGCAGATGTTCCTGCCCATGGTGCAAATTCTCCATTATACCACATAACAAATATGTGCCACTCATTACCTTGTGACCACGGGAGTCATTGAACCCAGCAGTAGTGCACACCCTACCTGTGGGCTTTTTCTTTTTAACTCTGGCAGGTTACAGTAAAGAGGCCACGATCTTGCAGAAAACATTTATCTAACCAATAAAGCCATTACAACAGCCTGCATTGAGCAGATTTAATAAATAAATTCAGATGGATGGTATAAACCACTAATCAATCCTCTGCAGCCTCAGCAGTAAAACTTTCCCCCTTTTTTCCATCAAGTTTTGCAGAGAGTATCACCGCCTCGGTTTTCTCTTACTTACAAGCCGAGAAGTAAAACTAAGCATATTTTTGCAGATGTGGTCCACGCATCTCAAGGTTTTACATTTGAGCCAATTTTTAGCTCAGGAAAGTGGTACGGACGGTTTAGCCAAGTTATCCCTGCTTTAGGCGTTAAATACAGAGAAGGCTGTGCAAAAACTCAGAGGATATCAGCAGTTTCAGGGAAAACTGTACAGGAACAACTGAGACAAAAAGTTAAAAACAGTTTGACTGCTGCACATTTAAAGGTCTAGAGCCAAAAACAAACATGTGCATTTGATTTTTAGTTAGTGGTGAACAAAGAAATATCTTCATAACTTTGTTCTGGTTGGGATTCACATGATTACTGAACCTTTTATGAGCAAACAATGGATCAAGCTAGTTCTACCTGATTTTATCTATTAGTTTGTGTAAACAGACTTGCAGTTACATTGTGTAATTTTGAAAGACAAAGCAAAGCAAAGTCAGTTTGAATTAGATAAAAAACATTAAATAATGTTCAGTAAAAGAATTAAAACTATCTGCTGTCCTAAGCTTGACCTATGATCCAGTGTGTCCTTTAAATGTATCATTTCATGGCTCTGAAACAAGTCAAACAATAACTAAAGAAACCAAAAAAAATGTCCACCTTAAGACAGATCATTATAAATTGTAAACGTATGCCTTCCTATTGGTCTATTTATACACATTCCTGAAGTGAAAGTTTGGAGATTCAGTAACACTCAGCTTTAAAAAGAGCTGGGGTTGGAATTAAAGACAGACGTCAGAGCCGCTCCTCTCCCTTTCTCCTCTCGGAGTTGTGTAATGCACTGTTGGTGTCATCTCTAACAGGATAATGACTTGCACGCTTTCCTGCCTTCCCTCCCCCTCCTCCCCTTCATACCTCACTGTTTAAATACTTGTCAGGCGGTTATGAAACACAGAGCTCTGTCTTGTGTCGCTCTGTAAAACCTGGCGACACACTTCACTGAAGTCACCTGAAATAGAACAGTGCTCTCTAATATTCGTACTTCAAAGTCCAAAATGAAAACATTCTGTGTTGGACTGTAGCTTTCCTCCGGATGATCCAGCTGTCATGAAGGGAAACCTAAAATCGGAAATTTAAGGTGTGTTGAATGCACTTTAGCCCACTCTGTACAAAAGCCTTTAACTGAAATCATGACAAGTCTTTAAAGGCACACTATGCAACATTTTTCAGTTAATTAATGTGTTCCATAACGTTTTGGATGATTAAATGAGTCATTTCAGGTTGAACAAAGGTATTCTCGGCCGCCCTGGTGGTCTATGGGGGAAATACCGCACTTGTAATTGCAGGAGCCCTCGGCCTGCACCCACAGGCTCAGAAGTCTCGCGAGAGTCGGTCTTGCTTTACGGCAAGAACTGCTACACGCCCCCAGTTAAAAGCATGCTCGTGCTAGCATAGTGGCAATCTTTGTGCAGTTATCATGGCGGAACCAGCGTGAAAACAGCGAAAGCCCATGTCAGAGCAGGCAAGAAAGAGGAAAAGGGCTCCGGACAGAGAGAGGAGTCGTACACGGGTGAACATCGGGCAAGCTTTTTCCGAATGGCGAGAGCTAAAATAAAAAGAAGGCTGCAAGGCTGACGCGGACCTCGCGTTTCTGCTGATGCGATTGTAAGTAACATTGGAATGGTTTCTCTCTCTCTGTGCATGTTCATACTTTCACTGTGTTAGTCATTCGTTGCGTTCACCTGTCTGCTAAGCTCAAAACAACCGCGCCTGGCTTGACGGAGAAACCAGGAGAACAGCTGTGCATATTTACGACAGTGCACTTTTACTTTTGCCCTCTGGGGGGAGCCTCGCTGGAAAATCAACACCGGTTGCATAGTATACCTTTAAGGTGTACACTTTTGGGAGATTTGCTGCGGTGGCCCAGAAGAATAAAAGCATTCTAAATACATAAAGTACTGCAAACCCTCCAAAGGAAAAAAGTAGCCAAAAAAAAACCAACTTCAGATTGTAATGTATCCCTGTCAAGTTTAGGATTTGAATATAAGGGAAATTTTACATCCGCTGCCATCAGTCTAAAGATTTCAAACTACAGTATCCATTACATTTTTAAGACATCGGAAATAACCACCAGTCAACCAATTGCAAATTACAATTAAGTGATCAGGCCGTTACATTTTATGAGGCAGGTGAATGCCCCCCCCCCCAATATAAGTCTATAATAAAATATGGTAAATTTACAGGACACTGCTAATACGAGAGGACTGCAGAAAAGAGTGGTAAAATACGACAGTTCTACGGCCCAAAATGAGAGACTTGACTGTTCTCCAGTGCTTCAGACCACTAGGGGGGTTCAACCATTTACACATGTGGGACCAGACCACAGACCCTACTACATATCATTGTTTATAGACAAGATTCTTAGTGAAAGACAAACACAGAATGCCTACCTACAGGGCATTTAGAGGGGAAAAAAGGTATATTTTTTTAAGTACTGAATATCTAAACATGTCTTATGTCTTTACTGTGTCTGGTCCCACATGAGTCAACTCCTAATGGTCTGGAGAACTTCCATTATAGGGAGATACAGTAGTTTGCATTTGTTCTTAACTTGCAGAGGAGGTTTCTTGCTACTTGCAGTGATTTATTTAATAAGTATTTTGTGCTTTTGCACTTTGCTTTCCCGTGATTTTCTGTCATTGCAGCATTTCTCGCTTGTTTTTTTTATGTTACTCAAATTCTTTTTGCCTGCCACATTTTCCTGTTGCAGCTGGTTTGTGTTTTCCTCGTGCTTTCATTTCCGCCACTTTATTTAGAACATCTACAAAATAACAGGACAGCAAAAGTCAATTTTCATATCTTGTCACAAATTCTTATTTATCTGCGCTTTAATTGGGCCAGTCTGATACATGCATTTGATCTAAAGAAAAAAATCTTATAAACCTCTGGAAAGTAATATTACTCTATCTGAACCAGGAAATGCCTTCAAAACAGGCTTAAAGCCATTTTGTTTGTAGGGAGCAAGAAACTCATCACAAAGAAATAGCTTTTTTGAAAGAGCTCAGCCAGACACATGGATAGATGAAGAGAATCAAGAGTGAATTACCCCCAAAAAGGTTGACGTCTAACCAAATAAAATATACGTAATGCATTATATGGAGAGGTGGTTACATGTGTGAGGGAATGAGCATATCACACTACCTATTCATAATTTCTTATGTCCATTATTTTCTATATGCGCCACTCTTGTTTTTTTATTTCAAAAATACATTTTGATTGTTAAAGTGATTCATTACTTGAAACTTATATGGAAGTATGACCTTAAAATGTCAATAAAATGGTAAATAAATAAAAAAAGAATGCTCCAGCCATTTAACTCTTTTCAGGGTCATTTCCTTTTTGGAAAGTGACCTCCACCTTGATCTGAACTCTGTGTCTAAAGGTTTTCATCCAGGATTTTACAACATTTGGCTCCATTTATCCTCCCATTAGCTCCAATCATAGACCCTAATCAACAACCAATCCCAACACTATGAAGCTGCCAGTGGGACAGTTAATGATTATGTGCAGCATTAACACTCAACAAAAAATAAATCATCCCATCCAACTAAAGCACCTTCTTCCACTGGTTTTCTGTGTCTATGATGCAGCTTGCTACAAACTGCAAACTGAAATTGTTGTTGCTTTTTATCCACAGTGACTTTTAGGGTTGTGGGAAAAAAATGTTTTGGCAATATAACGTAATTTTCAACTGCCCGATATAATATCGATCTTTCCATTCCTAATTGATTAAATATAATCTATATTATATTAATATTGGTTGGTCTGGTTGCCATTTTTGGATCTATTATGTAGCAGCACCAGCTGAGCTTTTTGGTAGTGCTGCAGTGCTACCAGCAGATGGCACACATGTCTGTTTATGTCAACTCACCACACCTGGTGCAGGAATACTATTTAGGCTCAAAAAGGAGCAGCTAAACCCTGTCAGGGCAGATGCTTGGTTTTCATTACCTTATTTTATCACAATGAAATGGTTATTGGTCTTTTTGTTTCTATGCAACTATGACCTTTTAACAGAATCCTCAAGAGTTACTATGGGAATTCGCTACAGTACAGATATGCATTGTACAAAGTCACTAAAGATAAACGATGCACAAAGTCTATATATAGCAACACAAATATGCAAAACATGTTAAACACAAGTATTCTTGCGAGGCTAAATTATTTTCACTGGAAGTGGGTGGTTAGAGATAAACATCAGTATGACAGTCAGCTGTCAGTAGGCAATTCTTTCAAATCTTTAATAACAATCTGCAGGGAAACATATTAACTCCAAAAACAAAGCGAATCACAACTGATCTATCAAACGCTCGTCTGCTTATAAAAATGTAGTTATTTTGCATAGATTTAGTGGTTGAGACCTGGCACCAAGCTTTCTTAATTTATCAGCTTCTTATTGAACAGTGAGCTTTTAAAATGCAGTCGATGACTTATGGATTTTTAACATTAGACACAGAAATATTGCATATTT